CTGCCTGCCTCTCCGCAGGGGGATGGGGAGGAGCTGCGGACCGGGCTCACCTCCGCCGCACCCAGCCCCGCCCCTCCGATCAGCCCGAAGCCTCTTCCAGGTCGCGGGCCCCGCCCCTCACCTGTAGGTCAGCACAAAGGTCACGGCGCTTTCGCTGAACCGCACCAGGTAGCACCCCTGCGGCTTGGTCTCCAGCAGCCGTTCGGCCTCTCTGTGGTGTCGGAGAAGAGAGAACGGGGCTCTGACCCTTCCAGCCTTGACCCCTGTTTCCCGGGCTCTCACGGGGGACCCCACCCCAAACCAGGTGAACTGAAGTGGCTGGAGAGGGGGGGATGGGAGAGAGAGGATGTGGGCACTGCTTTTCCGCTGCAGGGCCTGGGCGTGGACGGGACCCAGAGGGCCCACCCAGGACGACTCCCAGCCCTGCATCCTCCCGGCCCCATCCTGAAAGGGCCGCTGGTTGTGGGCTGGTTGTGGGCTGGCGGGGAGTAGAGGGGGGTAGCGGGGAGTGAGGTGGTGGTGGCTCTGGGGGTGGTGTTGCGGCCGCACCAACAGGGATGGTAATAGACTTCTAGGTGTCAAAAGTCAAGCTGACAGAAGTGAAGTAGAAATGGAGGAGGAGGTAGGAACTGCAAGGGAGGCAAGAAAGAGGAGAGGGCTGGGTGAGCCAGAGGTAAAGATGGCGGGAGAGAGCCCGAGAGGCAGGTGGAAACCATGAGGATTAGAGGCCTTAGATACAGGAGGACAATTGAGTCTATGGTAGAGAGGGGAGACTGAGGCACAGAGGGAGGTGGACTGGAGCCTCTGCAACCATCTCCTCCAGGAGAGATGCCTTGGGGAGTGGCCTGGGAGCCTCCAGGAGTCATGGCCCGGACTTGTAGCCCAATCGACGCCCGACTGGCTGCGGACCCAGGCCTTGCCCCTGCCCCTCTCTGGGCCTGTTTCCTCCTGGTGACTCACCTCCGAGTGATGAAGCCATGGAACCAAGGAGGGGCTGCCCCGCGCTGCAGGAGCCCACGGGCCTGGGTCTTCTGGAACCAAGCCCGGGTCTCGGCCTGCAGGGACTGGCCTCCTTCCTTAGGCACCTCCTCAGCCTTCCCAGTGTCCTCTTGACTGGAGGCAGCCCCCAGGGCCTGGGCAGAGGCCTGGTTAGGGTTCAAGGAGGGAAAGTCGCCATGATTCGTGGGCCCTCTACTGACTCCAGGCCAGCGGCCACCTTCTCATTCTTATCCCAGACCCTCCTGGGCATGGGAGGAAGCTCCCAGCCCCCAGCCCAGTTGACTATTTTAAGTCTAATTGCCCAGAAAGTCCTTCCTAAAGTGTAACTTAAATCCCGTCTTCAGCTCCCGCTGTCTGGTTTCAGGGAAATTTCTTCCTACTTCCCTCTTGGCCTTTAAGCCAGTAGCAGTAAGCTGTTAAATTGTGTCTAAACGGGGGTGAAGTCTTCCAGATGGACAGAAAGTCATGCCCTGGCCTGAAGGATGAAGACAGTGATGCCGGAGGTCACCCCAGAGGCCAGAATAAGGGAGAGCTCACCCTACAGTAGGAGGGACTGTGCGGGTTGGCAGCGAGGACCTTCTAACCACTGGGCAGGCTAGAGGGACTGAGATGGGGATGTGCCAGGCGAATAAAAGCCGAGGGTGAAGGTGCCGACGCCTGCTTCCAGGACTCGATACCCTCACTGTACCTTGGTCGCCTGGGGACTCAGCTGAGCTTCCCAGGGACTGAGGAGCAGCTCAGCGCACGAAGGAGGGACTTCCCACCTCCTTTTCCTCTGTGCCCTTGCCCTGTAGGCAGCCCCAGACCGCTCCTGCTTTCTCCCTTTGGCCTCTGTCCGTCTGTGTGTCCGCACCCAGGGGAGGCTTGGAGCAGAAGTCATGCCCTGGCCTGAAGGATGAAGACAGTGATGCCGGAGGTCACCCCAGAGGCCAGAATAAGGGAGAGCTCACCCTACAGTAGGAGGGACTGTGCGGGTTGGCAGGGAGGACCTTCTCACCACTGGGCAGGCTAGAGGGACTGAGATGGGATGTGCCAGGCGAATAAAAGCCGCGGGTGAAGGTGCCGACGCCTGCTTCCAGGACTCGATACCCTCACTGTACCTTGGTCGCCTGGGGACTCAGCTGAGCTTCCCAGGGACTGAGGAGCAGCTCAGCGCACGAAGGAGGGACTTCCCACCTCCTTTTCCTCTGTGCCCTTGCCCTGTAGGCAGCCCCAGACCGCTCCTGCTTTCTCCCTTTGGCCTCTGTCCGTCTGTGTGTCCGCACCCAGGGGAGGCTTGGAGCAGATGCAGGAGCTGCACCCAGGTTCCCACTCACCGCAGCGTGGACATCTGGGGCTCTGGGGCTGAACGGGGCCTCTCCAGCCTGCAGGGCCTGGAGTCTGGTCTCCTTAAGCAAGCCCTGGCAGCTTTTTCGAGTGAAGTCCAAGGGCTGGAAGGTGGTGAAGGTCGGAGGGGGGGTGTTGTGACTTCCTGTTGGCACAAAGAGGACGGAGGGGCTCTCGGTGAGGGACTGCTTCTCTCTGCTGCCCACCCTCCCCCAGGCTGAGAGGTGCCTCTGACCAGGGACCTGGAGGACAGGGACAGTCACGACAGCAGGAGAAATGCAGGTAGGACAGTGGGGGGAGACGGGGGAGTTTATCAGGGAAGAGGAGTAGGGAGCCAATGAGGCGAAGAGGGGCTGAGGCAGCAGAGGGGCTTGTTGGGGGCAACTGGGCACCAGGAAAGAAGGTGGAAGTCAGCTGGTCTTCTGGTGGCCTGGAAGTCAGTCCCACAATCAGGGAGCTGAGGCAGATCTCTTTATTTTAAAAAATATCTTTTTTTTTAATTGATTTCAGAGAGGAAGAGAGAGGGAGAGAGAGGGAGAAACATCAATGGTGAGAGAGAATCATCGATTGGCTGTCTCGTGAAGGTCCCCTCCAGGGATCGAGCCAGCAACCTGGGCATGTGCCCTGACTGGGACTTGAACTGTGACCTCCTGGTTCATAGGTCGACGCTCAACCACTGAGCCACGCTGGCCGGGCTAGGCAGATCTCTTTAGTGCAGCCCCTCTTCTGGCCTAAGGTCCCCTGGCTTCCCCCATCCCTCCTCCCTCCTCCCTAAGAAGCACACAGCAGACCCTGTCACCTTTGTTCTCAGGGCTGAGGGGACCTGCGGTCCCAGAGAAGGAGAAGGGGTGGTGGGGCCCCTGCCAGCTCTGGCTTGCGGGAGGGTTCTGGTCCAGGGGTCTCCTGTCCCCTCCCACCCACATTCTTAAACATCACACTTACCTTGGGGGCTTATCTGGGCCAGGGGGAGCTCCATGGGGGCAGCCTGAGAAGGAGCCCAGGAGCCGGGTGTGTGTCTGTGCACACTCAGCAACTCTTCTCTCCCCCTGCCCCCTGGGCAGGAAATGTCGCTCTACCCACAACCCTAGCCCTAGCAGAGCACCCACGTCATGGAAAGCCATAAGACAGTCGTCCCTCCCCCGGAAGCCAGGCAGCTGAAGGTGGTGGTGGTGTGGTGGTGGGTGTTTGTGTCAGTCGCTCTGTCTGGGTGTTAGGAAGTCCATTCTGCTATCTGACCTCAATCCCCCTGATTCTTTCTTTACTCCCTCACTCCAGACTGGGACTTCCCTTTCTCTCTCTCTGTCTCCATCTCAGCTTCTGCTCTGAGCAGTGGCAGTGGGGATATCAACCTTAGCGAGATAAGCCCTAAAAGGTGCTCAGGCTTCGGACTCCCTGGAGATTTATACTCAGGATTATGTTCTTGGGACACCTGAGGAGGGGAGCAGGCAGGTCTGCAACAGGAAGGACGTAGGTCAGACTTCTGGAAGGACATTTTGAGGTCATACGAAATCTGTGAGACAAAGGGTAGGCAATCCTGGAGGAAGGAGGGAGAATTCCCTCCAACTAGGCAGACTGTCGTTAGTAGTAACACTGTTAGCAGTTGTTAACGACTTCAGTGCTGATGTCTCGCAGGGGGCTGTGTCTCCTGCTGCACTAGAGGACCAATCCCATTCTCTCTCATTTGACCCCTCACAAATGAGAAGGGGACCGGGAACATGATTCCCATTTTCCAGAAGGGAAAACTGAAGCTCAGAGCAGTGCCTTTGCCAGGGTTTTTCAGTGTCTCAGAAGGTGGTGACAGAGTTGGAACAGGATCTAGATCTCTTACTAATCTCACCGTGATTTAGGCCAACGGTCCTTGACTATGTGCCAGGCACTGTTCTTGGTGCAAAGAACCCAGAGAGAAAAAGGATCTTGTTTCAAGATGTCAGGTGGCATGATGCTGTATATAGAAAACCCTAAAGACTCCACCAAAAAACTGTTAGAAACAATAAACAAATACAGTAAATTTGCAGGATACAACATTAATGTATCAAAATCCACTGCTTTCCTATATACTAACAAGTTTCTGAAACTTCAGAAAATGAAATGAAATAAAGAATTCCTTTTGCAATTGCAACCAAAAGAGAAACAAAGGATGTGAAGGACCTATATACTGAAAACTACAAAGCATTACTAAAAGAGATTGAAAAAGACAATGAAATTGAAAGCTATTCCATGTTCATGGATTGGAAGAATCAACATAATTAAAATGGCCAGCCCCACCAGTGTGGCTCAGTGGTTGAGTGTTGACCCATAACCAGGAGGTCAGGATTTGATTCCTGGTCAGAGCACATGCCCAGGTTGCAAGCTCCATTCCCAGTAGGGGACATGTAGGAGATGGTCAATCTATGATTTTCTCTCATCATTGATGTTTCTCTCTCTCTCTCTCTCTTTCTCTCCCTCTCCCTCCCTTCCTCTCTCTGAAATCAATAAAAACATATTTAAAAAAATAAATATTATGACCATATTACCCAAAGAAATATACAGATTTAATACAATCATCAAAATCCCAATGTCATTTTTGTTGTTGTTGTTAATCCTCACCCGAGGATATTTTCCCATTGATTTTTTAGGTAGAGTGGAAGAGAGAGGGAAAGACAGAGAAACATCGATATGAGAGAAACACATCAATTGGTTGCCTCCTGCACATGCCCTGACCAAGGCCCGGGCTAGGGAGGAGCCTGCAACCAAGGTACCAATATGTGCCCTTGACCAGAGTCAAACCTGGACCCTTTGGTCTACAGGCTGACGCTCTACCCACTGAGCCAAACTGGTTAGGGACCAATGTAATTTTTTAAAGAAATAGAATAAAAAATCGTCAGATTTGTATGGAACCACAAAAGATCCCGAATAGCCAAAGCAATCCTGGGAAAAAAGAATGAAGCTATCACACAATCTAATTTCAAATTATACTACACAGTTATGATAATCAAAACAGCAAGGCATTGGCAAAAGAACAGACACACAGACCAATGGAACAGAATTGAGAGCCCAGAAATAAAACTACATTATATGGGCAGATAATTTTCAGCAAAGTAGCCAAAAGCACACAATGGAGTAAAGAAAGCCTCTTCAATAAATGGTGCTGGGAAAACTGGAAAGCCACATGCAAAAGAATGAAACTAGATTATAGTTTGTCCTCTTGTACAAAAATTAATTCAAAATGGATCAAAAACCTAAATATATGATCTGAAACAGTAAAGTACATAGAAGAAAACATAGGTACTAAACTTATGGACCTTGGTCATAGAGAACATTTTATGATTTTGACCCCAAAGGCAAGAGAAGGGGAGGCAAAAATAAATGATTTTTAGAGAGAGAGGAAGGGGGGGGGGAGAGAGAGAGAGAGAGAGAGACTTTGGTTTGTTGTTCCGCTTATTTGTGTATTCATTAGTTGATTCTTATATGTGCCCTGACCAGGGATCAAACCTGCAACCGTGGCATATTAGGACGATGCTCTAACCAATTGAGCTACCCGGCCAGGCCTCATGCAATTACTTGTACATTCTGGAGCAGCTCAGCCTGGTCCAGAGGTATCACATGATGAGTTCCTGCTGTGCTTGTCCTGCTTCATGACTCCTGGATCAGATAACATTCAGCTTAGGAGGGGTAGCTCGGGTTGAATGGTCACTTGGTGAGGCACTTGGTTTTTATTAGGGCCCGATAGCATACCGGTAGCTGTTTTTCAGATGTAATTCTCTGTCAGCGAGGGCATGACCTTGTTCCAGAACCTCAGGGCATGTGCTGCAATTCTCCATCAGAACTTGCCAGAGACTCCACACAGCATCCTGCTCTGCCACCGGCGTGTCTAGCACCACTGGACATGCTGGGTCACAAGGCCCAAGAGCCAGAGCAGCTGGTTCGCAGCCCAGAGCTGCTGCAGGGGCACCTGAATCTGGGATGCACTTGAAGCTGGCAGCCTTCGGTGTCCCCCAATGATTAGCTTGAAGTGGTATTCTCAAGCACAGCCTACCTTGCCTCCAAAATTCAGAGGCCAGATGAATGCTGTGCCCCTCTCTTAGTGCTAGGGTGCAGCATCTTGTCCTTGCCAGCAAGCTGCAGACCAGGGCTTTTGGGAAGGAGGTGGTGACCGAGGGCATCTGAAATCTGTGTCCATTGTAGCTAGGATGATGCATGCTGCTGATAGAACCAATGCCTTTCTTCGCTTTTTTGCTCCTCCTATCTGCTGTCAGGGAACAAAACCGATGAGGTTTTGTTTTTACCAGCCCTTCCTTTGTGTCCAGACTTTACCAATAGCCTACTCTTACCTTGTATAATAAATTACTATTTTATAAGTAACTGCCAAGGGCCGGCCTTGTGTTATCTGAGGATTACCTGGCACCACTTTACAAGCAGGAAAACTGAGATCAAGGCCGAGAGACTTAGCTTCAGTTGCACGAGAACATTAGTTTCAATGGGGGGCTTCCGCTTAGGGCTTCTAGGCTCTGTGGGTGAGGAGGGAGTGTCTGCTGTGAGCAAGCACTGTGCCGAGTGCTTTACAAGTATGAGCTCATACACCCTTATGACAGGCCAACGATGATGCTCATTACCATTCCCACTTTACAGACAGTGGATCTGAGACTCAGGGAGGATAAGCAACTTGCTCAAAGTCACACAGTAGGGAAGGGGGCAGTAGAACAAGGGGGTCCGACTTCCTATCACAGATTGCCATCTTCTCCATCACCTGCCCTTTAATTGATGGGCAGGAGGCCGGGGCCGTCTCAGCGCAGCCCCCTGAAATGCCAGGGCTCTGGGCGGCGATGCCCGGTGTGGCTGGAATTCTGCTTTGCACGGCCCGCTTCTGGAAACTGCCTGCCACTTTGTGATAATTGCAGTGGAAGCATTTTTCACTTTTAAAATGGCATCACTCTCTCTTTATCTGGAGGCCTGGGCCCAGGCCAGCAGCACGGGCAAGCGGAGGGTTTCCTCAGCCCCAGGTGCGGCTGACCCGTCCCGCAGCAGCTCTGTCCAAACGCAGGCCAGGCCACGGGGCTGCCAGGAGCCTCACGTGTGTCTCCACATTCCATCAGACGAGTGTTACTCCTCAAACTATGGCCCGCGGGCCACATGCAAATACAAATATTGTATTTGTTCCCGTTTTGTTTTTTTACTTCAAAATAAGATATGTGCAGTGTGCATAGGAATTTGTTCATAGTTTTTTTTTAAACTATAGTCCGGCCCTCCAACGGTCTGAGGGACAGTGAACTGGCCCCCTGTTTAAAAAGTTTGAGGACCCCTCCTCTAAAAGGACAGTGATGTCAGTGACGCACAAGCCTACAACTGTGAGGTAAATTCAAGAAGAGAAGTCAGTACCGGCCGGTGTGGCTCAGTGGTTGAGCATTGACCTATGAACGAGGAGGTGAGGGTTCGATTCCTGGTCAGGGCACAGGTTGAGGGCCCAGGTTGAGGGCTGGATCCCCAGTATAGAGGGCGTGCAGGAGGCAGCTGATCAGATTCTCTTTCGTCATTGATGTTTCTCTCCCTCTCCCTTCCTCTCTGAAATCAATAAAATATATTTAAAAAAGAAGAGAAGCTGGGCCCTTGCACACATCCGGACCCTGCCCCTCCCTCGCAGGGGCGGGATTTGCTCCTACCCCTCAGAGAGCTGCCATTCCTGGTTAGACCACAGCAACCGTCCATTCCCGAGCTTTGCACGAGTGAGAATATAAAGGGGGGTCATTGAGGACATCACTGTAAACCCTTATTAGTCGCTAGAAATTCCCTGGCCTTTTTTTTTTGTATAAGCTATCTAATCTATATGGAAAAGGGCTACTGAGAAAAATCAGACACGAGGGCAGAAGAGATACATAGGCAAACAAGCCCAGGCAATTCAGAATGACAGGAGCTAACTAGAGGCATGAGGTCCTAGAGGAGTAGGAAGGAGTGGTCCATCTGCCTGGGGTGAGGGCATACGGGGGGAAAGAGGTCAAGGAA